CAGTTGAGGTTCATAAGGTTGTGGTTGTTTTAGGTCAGGCTCACCCCTTTAGCCCCAGGGAAGGTGGTAACTCCTCCCCTTTGAACAGTTACCTAGGGGGAGGCTTATAGAGCTTGGCTGTGTTTTTCAGGAGCTACCCCTTAAAACCTTGGAAGACCAAAACCAGAAAATATATATATATATATATATTTTTTTTTTTTTTCTAAGACAGGATCTCTCTCTGTTGCCTAGGCTAGAGTACAGTAGCATCATCATAGCTGACTGCAACCTCAAGCTCCTCTACTCAAGTGATCCTCCTCAGCCTCCTGAGTAGCTGGACTATATTTTCTATTTTTTGTAGAGATGGAGTCTTACTCTTGTTCAGACTAGTCTTGAACTCCTGGGCTTAAGCAGTCCTCCTGCCTCAGCCTCCCAAAGTGCTAGTGTTATAGGCATGAGCCACCATGCCCAGCCTGGAAACAAAAACATCTAATTGCTACTGGGCATTGAATGTCTTAGAGTAGTCATTTTGGTAGTCTGTTTCATGATATACTGAACTAGCCATATTCTGACAACAAAAAGAAAAAAAGGAAGGTTTGACCTAGAGAGGGAAGGTAGTTCTAATTTTGATAGATCCCCAATCAGTAACTTTAGTCTCATTTATTTGTGGGAAAAAAAGGTATTCTGCCTTTTTCAAACTTTGTTTTCTTCATCCCATCTCTCTTTTCTTAAGGTTTTTTTAGATTAATAATTAGGCATTTTCCGGCAATAGTCCTTTCCCCTTTAAAATCCGTATTACTATTTGAACAGTTCTTAATAGCCTGGGCTTTTTTTTTTTTTTTTTGAGACAAAGTCTCATTCTGTCATCCAGCATCCAGGCTAGAATGCCTGGCGTCAGCCTAGCTCACAGCAACTTCAAACTCCTGGGCTTAGGCGATCCCTCTGCCTCAGCCCCCTGAGTAGCGGAGACTATAGGCATGCACCACTATGCCTGGCTAATTTTTTTTCTATATTTAGTTGGCCAGCTAATTTTTTCTATTTTTGTAGAGACAGGGTCTCGCTCTTGCTCAGGCTGGTCTTGAGCTCCTCAGCTCAAGCCATCCTCTTGCCTTGGCCTCCCAGGGTGCTAGAATTACAGGTGTGAGACACTTTGCCCAGTTTGAAGCTTACATTTTCTGTGACTTTAAACTCCATAAAGATACTTCTCTTTTTGTCATATGTGAATGAAAGTTGCCTGCATCTTTTATTCTGAAAATCTTACAAACGTTCTCTGCTTCTCTCAGAAGTAGTCAGAAGTAATTCTTGTTTGTTACTGTAAATGTGGTATTTTTCTTGCTCAGTTACTTGCAGAATTTTAATTTTTCTTTTAGTTTAATTTCATAAGACTACTTGGTATCATAATCTGGTTGTTAAATATAGATACTCTCAATTTCTGGTCTCATTTCTTTTTATTAGTTCAAGGCACTATTCAGGTAGGACTCCTTTAATCATTCATTCTTTGCCATTGGTTTCTTTTACTATTTCAAGATGTCTATTTTGCTGGATATATTCTTTGTATTCCAGCTCTAGATTATCATTCTTTCATACCATCTTTTCACTGATTTATGTATTTTTATATATAGATATGGCTTTCTAGTTTATTTTGTATTACTCATTATATTACAGTGTTGAATCAGCTTTTTGCTTATTTATATTCTTTTATAATACCATAATAACTTCTTTCATATATGTAAGAGAAAATTTTAATTGTTTTCCAAATTGAACTTGTGATTTTTGTGGTGATTCTAATTCAGAGGTTTGGTTTTTTAGTTTCTAGGCTCTCATCACTTTGTTTCTTTTTTTCTGTGTTGCGGAACTTTTCACTAGTCTCAATTTATTTTCAGTTAATTTTTCTCCTTTAATTTAATTACTGATCTTTGTTATTTTGGTGAACAGTTTTTTTTTATAACATGTTGCCCATGATGTTGTGCAGTGGTTATTCACAGGCATGATGATAGCACACAACAACATGTAATACATACAAAGGAGACACCCATTTGCTTCTCGATACTCACCAATTTCTTAGTGAAGGGTTTTGAGTAGGAAATTAGTGTACTTACTTGCTCGCTACCATGCTTCAGAATATGACTCTGGCTGGAGGGTGCTACCCTGAGAGGAATAACCAAAGAGTATGAGAAAGTCAACTTCAAGGTTAAAGTTGACTACGTGCTAGCTGTGAATCTGTAGTATATCACCACAGTTATGAAATAATCAAACAGTTGCACTACTGGGATGGGTAAATATACATATAAAATCATGTTGTGGATAATGTAGGAAGTCTTTGTTATTAGAATACCATAGCTGGTTTTGATCCCAAAATAAATGAGATATGGAGGTAATATGGGAAAAAGATAAGTAAAGATGCCATGGGCCATTTTATTAGTGTCTTAAAACTGAAGATCTGTGTACCTCTGCCTCCTTGTCAGCAGCCCACATGGGTGAGGTTGAAATTCTGAGAAGGCAATATTCTGACTTAGGCTGGGTGTGGTGGCTCACGCCTGTAATCCTAACACTCTGGGAGGCTGAGGCAGGCAGATCGCTGGAGGTCAAGAGTTCGAAATGAGCCTGAGCAAGAGTGAGACCCCATCTCTACTAGAAATAGAAATTAACCGGCCAACTAAAAATATATAGAAAAACTTAGCCAGGCATGGTGGCACATGCTTGTAGTCCCAGCTACTCAGGAGGCTGAGGCAGGAGGATCACCTGAGCCCAGGAGTTTGAGGTTGCTGTGAGCTAGGCTGATGCCACGGCACTCTAGACCGGGCAACAGAGAGAGACTCTGTCTCAAAAAAAAAAATAGTCCGACTTAGCTATTTATCATTTTTACTGGGAAAGACTTCCACTTTGGAGAGTACCTTGGAGAGAGCACACTTCAGTAAAAGGCCATTACTGGTTGTTTTGTTTTTGTTTTTGTTTGAGACAGAGTCTTACTCTGTTGCCTGGGTTAGAATGCTGTGGGGTCAGCAGCCTAGCTCACAGCAACCTCAAACTCCTGGGCCAAAGCGATCCTCCTGCCTCAGTCTCCCAAGTAACAGGGACTTCAGGCATGCGCCACCATGCCTGGCTAATTTTTACTATATATGTTTTTAGTTGTCCAGCTAATTTCTTTCTATTATTAGTAGAGACGGGATCTCACTCTTGCTCAGGCTTGTCTTGAACTCGTGACCTCAAGCTATACTTCCTCCTAAGCCTCCCAGAGTGCTAGGATTACAGGCATGAGCCACCATGCCTGGCCAGAGGCCATTACTGTAAAACTGGATTCATACATGAAGAAGATACCTTAGGACATTGCAGGGATTGTGGCCTTAAAATATTCTCTGTTAAAAAGAATCAGGGCTGCTTGGGGAAATGGCTGATTTCACATGTGCAGCAGAAATGCACAGATAAGCCTGTAACATCTTTTCATACCACATGGTAAGGAAACTCTCGGAGACTACTAAGTTTATGTCATAAGGACTGAAGGGCCCTCCTGAAACTTTTCCCATGATCAAACATGAATCAATTGAGAATCAAAAAGGATGATAACTGTGTTGTATTGAAACATACCTAATATGTTTAATTCATGAGTTCGTCGTCATGAGTGAAAAAAAGTTAGTATTTAGAAGTGTTTAGAGAATGAACATCATTGTTTTGAAACTGATAAAAAGCATTCCATCTAGTGAATGAAAGGAGGAATGACAGAATTTAAGTAGCACCATTTTGGGAGGTCAACTTCCAGAGTGGTGGGTGGGGTAAGGACCTCAGCGTGTGCACACCTAATCCAATACTGGATGACTTGGTAATTGTTGACTCTGGGTGACAGGTATGTAGGGATTCATTCCTTCTGCCTACTTTTTTTTGTAATGACTTTATTAAGATATAATTCACATACCAATGTGAATTATTCAATGTTTATTAAATAACTAGCTATATTACCTAAAGCATTTTAAAGAGGAAGAAGCAGCAGAAATAATTCCTTTTTCTGGAGAAGATGGGATAAAATCTATATCATCATCATCATCATTCTTATGAATTTATAAAAATTTATCTATTGAATATAATTCAGTTTCCAAATTTTTCTTCTTTTCAGTATTATCTGAAGTAAAATAATTGACTATTTTGTTGACTAAAATATATAGTTGACCAAAATAAAATAAGTTATTTTAGTAATTAATGAGTGGAACACAATTTATGTAAAACTTAGTATTTCCACAAATATCATCTAGTGTTGTTAACTCTCCTAAGATATATGGTATAAAATAAAAGTAGATGCCTGATAGATTAGGAAAGGAGGTTATAATTATCAGCCAAAATGAGGGGGGGGTTTGTGGGGGGTTTTTGTTTGTTTTTTTGCTAGGCATAAATTACAGCTATCCTGTCTTCCTTTAGCCTCTGTAATTTTAAGGTGACTTAAGCTATATGTTATTCTGAACAATACCACAGTTTGTTATACAGGGATATAAGTATGTTTGGTAAAAGTATTCTTTTAGGTTGAAACGAGGTGATTATGAAGCATGGTATCTTTGTTCTCATTGGTGATGCTGTTCCTTCTTTCCCTGGTTTTGCCCTTGGGCAGAGATTTCAGTTATTCATTTGTTCTTTGGGTTTTCGGTATGCTTTGATCATTTCCTCACACATCACTCCCTGTCCAGCTTTCATTTGTCCTTCAAGCCTAGGTCAGGTCCCATTTTTCTACAAATCCTTTCCCAGTAATCCCTCTCCTAATGTCTTCTTTTGTACTTATTTGAGCATATGTGGAAGAAGAGAGGGGAAATCAGGTCATTTTGTTATTCGAGTGAGCCTTCAGTTAGTTAAAGATTACATTTCAAATGTCACCAGTTGTAAATGTCAAAACAATCTATTGACCAAAAAAAAAAAGAGTCTCATTACTCTGGGCACAGTTGGAACAATGCCTGTGTGAATCAAGTCCTTCCGTCCTCAATATATATTGAGATTAATTCAGAGTATCTGACTCCACTATTTTTTCCCCCCTCACCTTTTAGGATTATGGCTGCTGTTCCTCAAAATAATCTACAGGAGCAACTAGAGCGTCACTCAGCCAGAAAACTTAATAACCAATTAAGTCTTTCAAAACCAAAATCTTCGTAAGTATTTTGGTTGGTTTGCTGTCCTTATAGGCACTTACTGTGTTGTACAAATGCGCTATCTTTCAACTCTTCCGTTGTACAAATGAGGAAATTAAGCTGAGAGATTCAATGCTTTTCCCACTTTGCAAAATTAATGGTTGAACATGTTTTAGGGGCACCTTTGCATGATTCGTGACACATAATATTTGCTCAATGAAGATTTGTTGAATAAATTGAATGATGAGTTTGCTTATAAACTTGGGCAAATAAATATTTTTAGCATATTGATATAATTTTGCATCCTTTCCAAAGACAGTTTTACAGCTCTCCATTTCTGCCTACTCCTCTAAGCTACCTTTCAGACTCCTAATGATATCTAATAATAATTTATATTATGCATGGTACCATTACTAGATTGCAGACATGGTTATGGGTGTTTGACTTTGAAGTTACCACTGACTTTTTTTCATGATATTTTGTTATTTCAGCATATTAAGGGGGTATAAATATGTAGGTTACATATATTGCCTTTGACCCACCTAAGTCAGAGCTTCAAGCATGTCGATCCCCCAGATGGTGCTTATTGCACCCATTAGGTGTGTCCCACTGACTTTCATGTCGTTAAATTCAGCAGATAGCCAGGGCTCATGCCTTCTTTACTTGTCCTTCATATTTTAGCATAGCTAGCAGTTTTTAACTTTTTCACCCTTAAAATTTTTATCAGAGTAGCAAAAAGTAGCCACATTTGAGTCTCTATCCTGTCACCTCCCTCTGGAGGTGCTATTAATTAAGGTCGACCAGCCTGAGAAATAAAGTAGTGTGAATGGTCTATCAAAACCAAGTAATTAGCCTCTGAATGGGAAGGATCAGAGGATATAAAATACAGTTTAAGTTACCTGATAAATTTTAAACTCAGAGAGGTAGACGAATTCTTTGCTCATGTGTGATACAATTAATGTAACTTGTATGAATTACTAAAAAAAAAATTAGGGTTTTGTTTTGTAGTTGGTGGGTTTATTAAAATGAATTTATCTAATTGAATTTGTTCATTATTTTTCAGAGGTTTCACTTTTAAAAAGAAAACATCTTCAGATAACAATGTATCTGTAACTGGCGTGGTAGCCAAAACATCTGTGTTAAGTACTAAAGATGTTAATGTTACTGAGGCCTTTTCCTTCAGTGAACCTCTATCCCACACCACAAGTCAACAGACAAGGATCAATGACTTTAAAAATGCTCCAGCAGGACAACAGACCCAGAGAGTTGGTTCAAAACCATTATTACCAGATTTGTCACAGATTCCGAAGAAAGTTTTATGCACTACCCAAAACACACCAGTTAAAAAGAAACCTCGTGATGCTGCTTTCAAGAAGTTAGAATTTAGTTCTTCATCAGATTCTTTTAGTACCATCAATGATTGGGATGATATGGATGACTTTGATACTTCTGGAACTTCAAAAGCATTTGTTACACCACGGAAAAATCACTTCATAAGAGTAAGCACTGCTCAGAAATCAAAAAAAGCTAAGAGAAACTTTTTGAAAGAACAGTTTTATAAAACAAATACAATAAAGGCTGATTTGACTCCTTCCTTCTCTGAAAGCAAGCAAGTAGATTTGACTAAGGATCAGAAGGATGACTCAGAATGGTTAAATAGCGATGTGATTTACATCAGTGATGACCCCATTTCTGAAGTACCTATAAATCAAGATACTCAGGAAAGTCACTCTTTAAAAACACATTTGGGAAATGAAAGAGGTAAACATTATTTTATCTTCATTTCAGTATGTTGACTGTATTGCTTTATGCAAAGCTAAGCATTGGGAATAATAGTGAATATGATACAGCTTTTGTCCTTAAGGATCTCAGAATCTGGCTTGGCATGGTGGCTCACGCCTATAATCCTAGCACTCTGGGAGGCTGAGGCGGGCAGATCACTCAAGGTCAGGAGTTTGAAATCAGCCTGAGCAAGATCAAGACCCCGTCTCTACTAAAAAATATATAGAAAGAAATGAGTTGGCCAACTAAAAATATATATATAGAAAAAATTAGCTGGTCATGGTGGCGGGTGCCTGTAGTCCCAGCTACTCAGGAGGCTGAGGCAGAAGGATTGCTTGAACCCAGGAGTTTGAGGTTGCTGTAAGCTAGTCTGACGCCATGGCACTCTACCCAGGGCAACAGAGTGAGCCTCTGTCTCCAAAAAAAAAAAGGGGGGAGGGGGATCTCAGAATCTATAGCAGGACTTTTTGACTAATCTGATGGCCACATTTTTAACACAGGGCATATTGATGAAATGGAAGGTTTCCTAATTATTTTAATTTCAAGAATAGCTCTGTGATTTTATACCTGAAGAAAATACAGTAGTTCCCCCCTTATCCACGGTTTCAAGTTCTGAGGTTTCAGTTACCCACAGCTAACTGAGGTCTAAAAATATTACATCACTACTATTGTGCTTTGGGACCATTATTAAGCAAAACAAGGGTTACTTGAGCACAAACACTTCAGTACCAAGACAGTCGATTGGATAACTGAGACCACTACTAAGTGACTAACAGCAAATCTGGTGGACAGCCAGTTGGTGTGAGGTTTTTGTTTTGTTTTGTTTTGTTTTGTTTTGTTTTTTGAGACAGAGTTTCGCTTTGTTGCCCAGGCTAGAATGAGTGCCGTGTTCTTCAGCCTAGCTCACAGCAACCTCAAACTCCTGGGCTCAAGCAATCCTACTGCCTCAGCCTCGCAAGTAGCTAGGACTACAGGCGTGCACCACAATGCCTGGCTAATTTTTTCTATATATATTAGTTGGCCAATTAATTTCTTTCTATTATAGTATAGAGACAGGGTCTCACTCTTGCTCAGGCTGGTTTCGAACTCCTGACCTGGAGCAATCTGCCCGCCTCGGCCTCCCAGATTGCTAGGATTACAGGCATGAGCCACTGTGCCCAGCCTGATGTGAGATATTTATCATACTATCCAAAACAATGTGAAATTTAAAACTTAGGAATTATTTATTTCTGGAATTTTCCGTTTACGTCACAATGCTTATGTCACTCACTTTACTTCATTTCATCATGTAGAAAGTTTATCATCTCACATCTTTACCAGAAGAAGGGTGAGTACAGTACAATAAGATATTTTGAGTAAGAGAGATATCACATTCACATAACTTTCATTACAGTGTATTGTTATAATTTGTTCTGTTTTATTATTAATCTCTTACTGTGCCTAATTTATAAGTTAAACTTTATCATAGGTATGTGTATATAGGAAAAAATATTCAACACTATCTGTGGTTTCAGATATTGACTAGGGGTGTTGGAGTGTATTCTCCTTGGCTAAGGAGGACTGCCATAAGAGCCATTCAGGTTAAAATGGCTGTTAGTGGTAGAACTGCAAAGTGGAACTAAGTTTTTCTACTATAATTCCTTTATGGCTTGTTGCCATCTAATATTGATGTATAATGTGACCTAATTGTGCTATTAAAGTATTATAAATTACATTCAGAATTTTTCCTGGATAGATCTTGTAGTTATTAAACATCTAAAACTTAATAACTGAGATTAGCCGCTTGTGGAAGTAATCCATATGTTTAATGAACATTTATGAAATAGTTGTAAACATGAAACTAAATTTTTTAAACATCTGAATCTTATCAAGGTTCCTATAGGGTGAGAGAGGACTGAAAAGTGATTGTTAATAAGCAAAACCATAGTTTAATCTATGGTTTTGCTGTTTCTGAAGAGAAATTTTGTTAAAAGGTAAACTAGAGAGCAACAATTTGGCATTGTGTAGAGACTTAAACATCTAGGAAGCCTTTGTGGTAGAGATGGTTTTTCTGTATAAGCAGCAATGTTTGTGCTGTTATCAAACTTTGTTGCTCTTTACCCTTATTTAAATATGAGTGAAATATTTTGAAATGACAATGTTAATGTCAAGTATGGGTTTCAAATTTACTGGAGCTAGGCATAAAAATCCCTAAGCAAATCGAGAGAACTGGTATACAAAGTCTTGTGATTGTTTATGACTTGCCAGAAACACTCTCCCTTAAGTGCTCTTTGCCCTGTGCTGTCTCATTGATTATTAAAATAACCTATGTTTATCAACTGTTTTACTTTAGATAATAGTGAAAAGAAGAAAAATTTGGAAGAAGCTGAATTACATTCAACTGAGAAAGTTCCATGTATTGAATTTGAACATGATGATTACGATATAGATTTTGTTCCACCTTCTCCAGAAGAAGAAATTATTTCTGCTGCTTCTTCCTCTTTAAAATGCTTTAGGTAAAATAGCTAATAAATTGAGTAACATCTCTCTCTGGGTTGTAAATTCGTTTAGTGCGTAGTATAGTAGTCTTCGATTGATGTATAACTGTGTTTGTGCTTGCTGCCACAGGTTGATTTTATTCCAAGATGAAAGCCTCAAGAAGAATCGGCCTGCATACATTTGATTTATTGTGGAGTATTTAAGATGCAAAATCCATTGCATGATGCGTGGAATTCATGGAGAGATCGCAAACGATTGTTGTATGTAGTGGTTTAACGAGGAGGTAGTATGCGTCTAAAGATAGTGGTAGTTGTAAGTCTGGAGCTGGAGAGTGAGGCGCGCAAAAACCCATTATTTGGGAACTGAATTAGTGCATAATACGTCCTCTTTTTTTTATAATCCTACAGGATAGAATTGGCAATTGTATTTGTCATTCACTCAATTTTAGCTAATTATTGACATGCTTATTGTTAATTGGTAGTATTATGAGAAATAATATTTCACATGCTCACATTGTTGTTTGTTTGTTTGTTGCTTATTTGTTTTTTGTTTGTTTTGAGACAGAGTCTCACTTCTTCTTGCCCGGGTGTCAACTTAGCTCACAGCAACCTCAAACTTCTGGGCTCAAGCGATCCTTCTGCCTCAGCCTCCCGAGTAGCTGGCACTACAGGCATGGTGCCACCACGCCAGCTAATTTTTTTATAATATTTAAAATATTAATTGCCTTTTTTATTTTAGCAACAGACGATTTCTTGGCAGACGCGGCTATTTAGTATATTATATAGTATTAGTATATTTTTTTTTTTTAGTTAGCCAATTAATTCGTTCATCTTATAGTAGGGAGGTGATCTCAGCTCTTGCTCGGCTGGTCGTTGAACTCTGAGCTCAGCAAGTCCTCCCACCTCGGCTCAGGCATTGAGCCACTGTGCCTAGCCTCAATAGTTTAAATTGCTAATTGTTGTTGTTACGTCTGTCCTCACCCCAGTCTAAATCTCAATCCAGTAGGGTGCTAGAGTATATACTATGCAATTTAATCAGTATCTTGATGAGAAACATCCCTGCAGTATATCACCTTAATTAGGGAGAGAAAAGAGGGCGGGGAAAGGGGAGTGAAAGTGTTTATAGGCATAACTAGTTTAGTTTCTTTTGGTTTGTGTTTTAATGATGTGTTGGGATATTTGAAGAGGTGGGAAAGGTTTAAGTGTGATTACTATTTCTTAATGAAATTAAAGAAATATAAGAGCTTCTTTTTTTTTTCTTTCTGATAGAAATTTAGCCAGAACTGTAGAAAGTATAAAACTGAGTAAAGTTTCCATAGAGTCTAGATTCTAAGTCATTATTCTCATTTAACAGATGAGACAACTGAGGCCCAGGAAGGAGCAGGAAATTGCCAAGGATGATGTAATTATTGGCAAATGGACTAAGATCCAGTGTAATACTTTCTCTTATGTCACAGTGATTCCTTATTAAATACCTGGGTTTGGGCCAGGTGCAGTGGTTCATGCCTGTAATCCTGGCACTCTGGGAGGCTGAGGCAGGAGAATTGCTTGAGCTCAGGAGTTTGAAACCAGCCTGAGCAAGAGCAAGACCCCCGTCTCTACTAAAAGTAGAAAAATTAGCCGGGCCTCCTGGTGTAGCCTGTAGTCCCAGATACTTGGGAGGCTGAAGCAGGAATATTACTTGAGCCCAAGAGTTTGAGGTTGCTGTGAGCTATGAACACACCACTGCACTATACCCAGGGCAACAAGGTGAGACTCTGTCTCAAAATAATAACAATAAACCTGGGTTTGTTTTTTTTTTTCTTTGCTTATTAAAAATGTTCATTGCACAAATAACACTGTAGTCATTTTAACAAGGAT